TTCGTGAGCAATCTCAGGTGGGTTGGTCTCAGCAATGCAAAGGTGATGGATGCGGGCCTGGCTCACTTGGCTGGCATTTCTTCACTTATAACTCTGGAGATTCCTGGCTGCCAGGGTGTCACATCCGCTGGCATGGTGCACGTGGGGAGGCTCACAAGCCTCGAGAGGCTGTATTTGCTTGGCACAGCAGTGAAGGATACTGGGCTGCAGCAATTGACTGCCCTGACCAAGCTGAAGATACTCTCGCTGCCATCTGCGGTGACTGATGCTGGCATGGAGCATGCGAAACACTTGACTGCACTGGAGAGGTTGGAGCTGTGGGACTCTGCAGGGACAGAGCGTGGTGTGAGGTGCTTGACGAGAAGCTCTAATTTGAAGCGGGTCAGGACAAATGTAGCTGGCTTGGAGACTTGACTGAGGAGGAATCTTCCTGGAGTTGCCATGGGTAGAGAGAGCCTGTACAGTGTACACTCATTTGCTGTTGTTATGCTAGACAACTTTTGGTATGCTTTACGATTTACATTTATCACTAGCCCGTTGCCTTAGCTACAAGCATTGGTGCAGACTGCCCTTGCTGGAGTGATTGGTGGTGATGGTCAAGATCTGCCATCACTCCTCTCCTTATGACTTTCTAGGAGTTGTTTTTACACATCTACCTCATATCTTTCTGTCGCTTTGCATGGCACACAGGCTGTTCGACCTCTCTACGCCTGGAACATGTATTCACTCTGTACAGAAGACAAATCCATCAGCCTCTGCATTTCATTGTGCTGCAGTTCCCAGACAATCTTGAAACGTATCTAAATCTTGATAGCAAATCTAGAGCGGCGCCACGACTGTGCAGGTGCTGCCTGGCTTCACCCATCTCAGCTGCTGCTTCACCCATCACTCCCCACCAACCGTCCCTGCAGTCAAGTCTGCTGCTGCTGCTGCACGTGGGTTGATAGACTGTTTGAATCATAGGACTGTGTAGGCACTTAACGAGCTGCTGGTTTGGGGAGAGGGGAAGGGGTTTTGGGGACGAATGGGAGGTGGAGAAGAAGGGAAACGACAGGAAGAAAGCTTTTGTTGGTATGAAGAGAGGGGGAATGGAATACAGAGGAGGACAGAAGTGACAATATGCAGGGGAATGAGAGCATGGGAGGAGAAAGTTGTATAGGAATGGAGGTAGGATGGATGTTCTTGGAACACTGCAGACACATGAAGAGGCAGGGTGAATGTGTGTGGCTGTGCTGCAGGCAGGTCCACGACGGTGCACAAACGTACAGCACACACACATGAAGAAGAGGTGAGACGAGGTGGATGGAGTCACCAGGAAGCTGCATTGACTACAGGGTTCTCCAGAGAGCATCAGGTTGAAGACGTGGAAAGAAATGAATACACAGCAGTCATTAGTACTGAGCGTGAGAACAGCACAGAGAGAGGATACTCAATAATAAGCTGCTTTAACGTCTCATAAAAGTGCTCTGAGAAACAAAATACAATACACTATTTTTCTTATCCTATCTGCCACTATTTTCCTGTGCCACGTGGTCATCGGCACAGAAAGGTCACAGTTTTGACATGCCCCCTCCATTATTCAAGCAAACATCACAACAGTGCCAACTGCAGTCCGCAATTTGTACTGATCCAAACTATGAGTGCATCAGTAACTTGGTTGCATGACATGGCAGCAGCACAGGAGGTAATGGGTGTAGTGCATCGAGACAAGATGGCTGCAACTGACCAATCACCAATACTGTGCTGCTCTCAGGAACACGGTGTAGAGACGAGAGCAGTTGACCCATTGATGAAATTAAAAAAAATCCTGTTGAAGAGGGTTGATGTACAGGAAATTAAAACCCAACATGTGCATGTGACACGTTTCCTGGGGATGTAGGAGCACGAATGGCAAACATGCACCGCGCTTGCACACTGCATGCGGTTTTGAAGGTCCATCTTCTGCAAAGGTTTATGCCCACCTACAAGCTTAGCACATCCTTATATATCCCCTCCCACCATACCTCCCTTTGCAGCCGTGGTTGCCCTCCTTTCTACATTTGTCTGCTAAGTGAGGCTTCAGGTGCCACGGGTGTAAGACAAGGCTGGGACTCAGCATGAAACCAGCAAACAGTGATGGTAACCTAGAGCATGGGGTGCAAATGCAGGGGGAAAGAGGGGATTAAGAGGATTTGAAGAGGATGGCAAGCAAGGAGGTGTGGTGGGGAATGGAGGCAATGAGGAGCAGGCGAGTGCGCTGCCTGTGCTGGCAGGTAGTCCGGGAGAGGGTGTGGTTGCCAAGGCGAGGTAAAAAGGCAGAAACGAGGTCTGGACCTGAATACAGGAGTTGAACTGAGCCCAGAATGGCAGTGGGAATAGCACAGTGCCTGCATTGCCGTCACTCTGCTTCACAACTTCACCCATCCACCCAATCTCCAGTTGCACTTGTCTCTCCATGACAACCGCACTTGCCGTCATGAGTATTGGTGGCGTGATGACTGGATCCAGATAAGAGTATGCGTATTCTGGACAACAGATCGGAGGAAAAACAGGCGGTGGGGAATGAAAGAAGCAAGAAATACAGCACTAATAATATAGTACAGCAAGGCAGTCTAATGTGATAGTGATGGTTAATATCCATGGGAGCTGAGACTGTTGTCGCTCCAACCACGGTCCACTCTGACCTATCTGTGTCAGCTACACCATCTGTCCTCTCCCTGCACACCATGAATCCGACACCAACTCACTCACCTCGACTCATCTTTTCTATCCACCCATAATTCTCCTGTCCACCCTCCCTCTTCTCCCTACCCCCTTCCTCCTCCATTCTCCTGTCCGCCTCTCCCCCCCAAAATCCTGAATTCACTCGACCACTCACCCGACTGTGTAACTTGCCCCTCCCAATCAGTTCACTACCCATCGGTTTCACAAATCTGGTGCTCTCCTCACATGCTTTGCTACTGGCAATAGCGGCTGGGGAAGAGGAAAGGGGGAACACAAAGGGGTAGGGAGACAGAGAAGGAAACAGGTTTGTGGTTCTTGCGGGGAGGAAAGGAGCTAGGAATCCCGGATGCAGGAGCGAGGCCAGAGAGGGGCACGAACTGGGTAAGGTTGGAGATAAGAGAAGGGTGGGTTGGGCAGGAAGTACACAGATTGGGGCTGATGTACTCTGAGGAACGAAGAGAGGAGAAGAAACATGGTACAGAAAAAAGGTGGTGGGAATGGGATGGGGGCGAGGAAGGAGCGACTGGAAGAGGAAGACATGGAATGAGGATGGTGTGAGGATGGTTTGGGCTGAAGAGAAAAGGGGGGCATGTGGGTGGTGGGGAAGGGGAGGGAGGGGTTGGGGGGTGAGGGGAGGGGAGGTGAAACGGGTTTGGCCACAATTGAGAGTGGGGAAGGAACTGGAGAAAGGAGGTTAGAGGGTCACGAGCAGCACAGTCTGACAGCTCTAGAGTACTATGGGAGCCAAACTCTCACCATTCCATCCCCTTCGTCCAACCACGTTCCACTCAACCTATGTCTGTCAGCTAACCCATTAGCTCCCTCCATTCCCCAACCATTTATCTCCGCATAAAACACCTTTAACCAGCACTCCCCTCTTTCCTTTTCTTCACTCTCCCCCTCCTCCCTCCCTCACTCCCTTCTCGTTAACCTCTCCCTCCCCTCCCACCCTTGACCCCACTCACTAAAATCACCATTAACTCTGCCGTGTGACTCTCTCTTACCAGCGACCCTCGAGCCAGTTCACTCCCACAGCCATCGGGAATGTGGCGCACATATCAGATGCTAGATGCTCTGCCACTGGCAATAGCAGCTGGGAAAGAGGAGAAGGGAGACACAAGGGGTAGGTAGAGCGGTAGTAAAACAAGGGATGAAAACAGCTATGGGAATTATGCAGGGAGGGATAGACAAGAGAGAAAGAGAAAAAACAGTTTCGTCTAAAAAACGTGATGAATCTCAAAAGGTGAGTCTGGACAGGTGCGATGGAGGGCGTGCAGTTGCTGAGCAAGTGTGGTGAGTAGGTGTGGTGAGCAGGTGTGTTGAGCAGAAGCGGTGAGCCAAAGCAGTGAGCAGAAGCGGTGAGCAGATGTGGTGAGCAGATGCGGTGAGCAGATGTGGAAGCTCTTTTCTTGCGATGAGTTGCAAGAAGCGAGGCACGAAACATGGGCTCTCATAGCAGTGGGTCCTGTGGCGATGAGCCTTGGGAGGTCTAGCAGTGAAGCATAATTGGTCGATGGCTAATACACCAGGCAAGTTCTTGTGATGAATAGTTATTCCAATTCTATTTAAGGTGCGTAAACAGTAGGTGGTGGAAGGAAGGATAGAGGATGAGAGGGCATTGACAGAGATGAGGGCAGCGCAAGCAGAGGAGGATGCAAGAGTGGAGGGAGTGAGTACATTATCACAGACAATCTAATGATCATATGAAAGGGCTGTTTCAGGATTGGTCAACGGAAACTGAGAGGAGTGAGAGGAGGAATAGTGGTAGGCAAAATGGGGGGCGTCGTCAGTAATATTGCTGTACGATAAATGGTTCCATGCAGTGCAGGGGTTTTTCATGCAGAAAAAATTCAGATTAGTCAAAGGAGCAAGGCGGGGATGGTGTGGTGTGGGAGGGTTATACTGGGAAAACAAGATGATCTAGGGGAGCTGGAGAAGCAGCAGGGGGGTGTGGCAGTGAGTGGTGTGAGGGTGGTGGTTCAAGGGTGTGAGGAGGATGATGGGACTGCAACTCGAGGCCGTATAGAGGGGGTGGGTATGAATGAGCAAAAGAGTTAATGGACACAGCATTTGGCCAGACAAGATATCTATTCAGGTATTGCCTCAGGAGGTTGAGAACCGTAGAGTGAAGTGGTGTCAAAGCATCCATTGCCCTTTCTTTAATGTCACATAATTTGTCTTGTTTCACTGTAATGTTTGTCTAGCTGTGGTGTTTCAAGCTCTTAACGAACATAAATGGCCCTGTATGTATGAAAATGTTCTCATCACTTATCCCAACCTATCTGCACTGACTATGTTGTACTAAGTGACACTCATGAAGCATGATACAATAATTGGTATGCGATGCATAGGTAGCAGTCTCTTCTATTGCGTACAGAGTCTAGGAGAATGTATAGCCACCCAAGGGTGTATGATACCATCAACTGTTCCACCTCCGGCCTGCAAAGACATCATCCTGTTTCCGATGGGTCACTTCCTAAGCCCATGCCCATCTGCTTTGCATGAGCAATGGCGGAGTTGAAATCCAGGTCTAGTGATGTGTCAAGTTCCCTATCAATCCGTGCTGCAGCCCCGCTTGCCTCTGCCCCCACAACCTCAGCTCTCAGCTTCACCAGCTCCCCCAGCACTTGGCGCATGGTGGGGCGCGAGGCAAGTGGCATGGTCGTGCAGGAGAGGGAAAGGCGAGCCATACGCAACACGATGTCACTTGGCGCATCCAAGAGAGGGTCCTTGAGGACTGCCACGTCCTTGGACTCCACTAAGGGAGCCACCTGCACGAACGATAGGAGGTACACCCTGTGTAAGGTCCCCTGAGGTGCTCCTCGAATGGTATGCATGATTGGGCTGGAAAAGCAATGGCCATCCAGGGGTACACCACAGGATGACAACAAACACAACACACCATCATATTGTTTGGATCAACTAGCGGATGAAATGTGAGAGTCGAGTAGAAAGATTCTGGTTCTACTCACCCATTGCTTGAGGTTGACCTGCGTGTCCTCTGTCACATGAACGGCCTTGCGTGCTGTCACAACCACCAGCATCACCATTCCAAAGCTGTCAACACCGAGTAAGCAAAAGAACAGCGACTGGAAGATGAGCCATGCTGTGTTTTCTTCAACGATCCATACCATGTCTACTCTCACCATCCACCTGTGCCGCCCACCCCAAAGACTGAACGCAGGCTAGACTAACCCTAAACATAAACACTTATGTGCCGATATGACTTCCCAAACTATTTCATGCATTCATCAGTCTTAAACCCTTTGCTGAAGTGGATTGTGCCTGCCACATCCAATTGATCCATCTGCTTACCTGTGCACATCTGCTGCTGGAGTGGCCTTGTGTGACTTGTAATATGCAGGATCCATATATCCTGGTGTTCCCATAACTCGAGTCGCAGCTACACTTGTCCCCTCACTCAGCTTCAAAAGACCAAAATCAGCTATCTTTGCCTGCCCATCAATCACGGAGGCACAGAAGATTGTTTCAGTGAAACGAGTGTTTGGCTGACCAGACGGCTAGATACTCTCAAAGATCACACATGACAATGCTTAGGGTTATGGCCGCAAGAAAAAGGCAGCTAATTTTGCGCGAAAACAACAGACACGGATTAGTAGGTAATCAACATGCCTGCATCCTTCCATCGAGGAGAATGTTTGCTGGTTTTATGTCACGATGCACAATGCCGAAGTCATGAAGGTACTGCAGCCCCTTCGCCACTCCAATCAGAACATCCAGCCGCTGCTGCAGAGAAAGAGGATTAGAAACGCCAGGACCAATCCAGCTGTCTAAATCACCGTTTTCCATAAACTCATAGATCAATATCTGCTCCATGTGTCGAGTGGATGGGTTGAAGTCTATACAGTAGCCCAGCAGCCGCACAAGATGGGGATAGTGCTTGCCGGCCATCTCCTTCACCTGCAAACGTCGTAGAGGAACAAGAGTCAAACAATTTCAAATCATCCATATATTGAGGCTGGTGATAGTAGCAGAGCCAGAATATTTCGGTGGGATATTTACCTCCACCTGGAAGTCATTGGTAAGTACTTTGGCCCGCTTTACTGCCCACAATTGGTTGCAGTTTTGGGGCGACACGCCTTTGTAGACATCGCCGAAGCTCCCACTGCCGATCCGATTTCCTTCTACCCAATCCGCGGTTGCCTTTGCCACATCTTCCAGGGAGTACTCACGGCACACGTGCGGCCGTGCTGCCTCCAAACCCACAACCAAATCACCACCACTGTAATCCCCTGTTACTGCTGCTGCCGCAGCAGCAGCAGCTGCTGCTGCTCCTTTGTTGTTGTTGTGTCCTCCATCATGTTGTTTGGCTGCACATTTGGCGAAAGTGGATGGCAAGAGCTCGGCTGTTATTGGTGGAGATCTTCAGGGCAGGACTTGGGAGATGCAGGGAGCAGGAGAGAGAAACGATAGTTGGGTGCAAGGTGTGGGGGTGGGGGAAGGGAACTGAGGAAAAGGATGAAGTTCACTAGACCACGAGGGCAAGATATTTCTTTCCTTGCCGAGAGGTGACCACGTCGAAGGGCTCCTTGTTTGTGATCCCTTCTTTCTTGTGGAGCCTCGCACACATCACTGCGCCGAGCAGAAGCATCCCGAGGGCAAATACAGAAGCAACGGAAATGCCAGCGATAAAACCCGCTGATGGACCGCTTTCAGACGGAGAGGGAGACGCTCCGGGTGTGGGAGGAGGTGCTGGAGAGGCTGTTGGTATGGATGGTGGTGATGGAAGGGAAGGGTGCAGAAGAGAGTCCAGGTTAGTGTTGAAAGGCACTGTCCACAGGTAGTGAGTCCGATGCAAAGGATTCATGCACAGATAAAGTAGACGAGCTGCAAATTCACCTCTTGATAGATCTCTTTCAAGTGTGAAGAAAGGGGATGACTAGGTGGCTTACATGAGAGCATTAAGTGAGCGAGATTTGCAAAACATGCAAGGTATCAGCATGGAAAGACACCATGGCTCACGTGGCGACGCCTTGTCACAAGTGCTAGAGAAGGAGGAGCACCTCCGACAAAAAACAGTCGACTTATTTTGCTTCACCACACAGCTGCTGTAATCTGTCGGGCATGCAATGCGCGTTCCAATGTTCCTGCATTTGAAGTTTCCCAGAAAAGTTCACATATAGGAGCTGTAGAATGTATATTGTGCACCATTAAATTGCCACTGGAGGACGATGTGACACTGAACATATACGGAAGGAGGGTCAAGCTCTCATGCAACACATGTTCCTTCCTAGCATGTGAATGTGTATCGCAAGTCTATTCCTAGGCATACAAGACATGCATGGCGGATGGCAACGAGATGGAAGCAAATGGTTCCAGACACACCGAATCGCAATGCCCACAACAGGTAGTGCAACAACAGCTTGAAAGATCGGTTGAGGCCTATTGACGAAACACTAGTAAAGACGGGTGGAATCCAGGGTTGAAATTGAAAGAGGCAGCATAAACGAACGATAGAGAGAACGAGAGCTCACCAATCTTTCAGGTTCAGAAGGTTGCCCATTGCTGCTGGTATTGAGCCCGTTATATGGTTGTCCGAAATGTAACTGCACATGGTGGGAAAGAAAGAACTAAGGATGGCTGTAGGACAGCATTGTGACCCGACAAAATCCAAGAACGTGAGATCATGGCGACATACGACCTGGCGCTCAGACTTGACATCAGCGAAAAGACAGTAAAGCAAACACTGGCATGGAAGCAAAAGCTCCTGCATCAGTACACAACTTGTAAGTGATACATTGAGAATGAAGCCTGTAACTTCTTTTTAACTTCGTTGTGTGGGTTGGAAGCACATTCGCAACGAGCTCAGATTGGAAAAAAACACATCAGGGCGTGCCATGTCATTTTTTCCTGAGTCAAGCCAATGGCGGATTTTGGTGTCAACTATTGTTTTCATCGTGTGAAATTAAAACACCTCCATGAACAGTTGCGACAGCTTCGGATTGGCTGCCACGTGCATGCAACTCTTTACAGCTGGATTTCGCTGGTCTTATTTTGACCAGTGTAGTGGGTCATTTGTTTTGGATATGCCAGTGCGCGCAGGGTGAGCAGTTCTGTGAGCAGGGTGGCCGCTCCTCTGGGATCGTTTTGGTCAGTCGCTGATACTGAGTTGTTGGTTGGTGTCAGAATAAGATGCACGGCACCAGCATCACTGACATGGATATGCCCTCAAACGCTGAAGCCCTACGAGGCCAAGCAATAGACTATCAAATCTTGCCACTGCCATGTCCATGACTGAAAGGAACTCACAGTCTAATCAGATTCTGTAGCTTGCTGATAGATTCAGGAATGCTGCCACTTAGATTGTTCCGGTGAATGTGTCTAAGTAGATAACATAGGGGACGGACAGATGCAGTGAGTGTGGGAGTGGTACCAAAGGGGGACGTGTGCAATGCAAGTACGATACATGCGCATGCAGACAGACAGGGATAAACAGGGATGAACAAGGATGCGAATAGCCAGACATAGAAAATAGCACCTTTTAGCATAGAAAATAGCATCGAGACCAATGTAGTATACAACCATTGAGCTATATATTAAACACAGAATTGAACTGCGTGTCAAGCACTGGGTACAGCCTAGCTTACACGTGGAAGCAGATACTGCCCGCGGGTCTGGCTAGTTGGACGCTGGCGGCAAGATTTCCCGCCCTCCCATACCGGTGAAAATCGCGTCTACCAGTCAACTTTTGTGTCGCATATGTTCAGGAGAAAGGCCACGGAACAATGCGACCAAATTAGCATGCCCCACGACCTTGGTTTGCGACTGGCGATTTTTGAACAAATCTCGCGAGCGCCGCGCGACCTCGCTAGTGCCTTGGTGACAATTTCCGAGGCCTGGCGTCAATGGTCGCCCAGTGGCCGTTAGGTCGACCTGTCCCACGGGTCAGCTCGCCTACCCTGTACCAACATCATGACACGCAGTCTAACTCTGCCCTAAGGAGACCCCTTTCTTTAGCACTCTCAACACACATAACAAAAATCATACTACGTACAACTCTGTCAACTTGGTCATGTTCCCAACGGATTCTGGGATGGACCCTGACAGGAAGTTGAAGTTGAGACTTCTGCATTCCACATCAGAATGAAAGAACACAAGGATCATACTATTAGAGCTTTTTGAGACAAGGAGAGAACAGAGAGCCTTGAAGGAGAAGACAAAGCATGCTGACACTGATTGAATGTGGTTGTCTTCGAGTGGGCGTTCAAACGTGCTGAACATGATGGATACAATCAGCTGGGCACAGTCATGTGGGCCAAACAAAACAGTGTGCTACTGACATATGTGTCACAGTTTCAAAATGAACAAACCACTTGCTTGCGACTCACAGCTTCTCGAGGACGCTGAGGCTGCCAATAGTAGACGGAATTGAATCGGTTAAGGCATTATGACTTAAATCCCTGATAGGGCATCTCGACCAAGCAACATCGTAGATAGAGGAGAAGAAAAGAGGAGTAACAAGGAACGAACGGAAGAAAAGAGGAGTAACAAGGAACGAACGGAAGAAAAGAGGAGTAACAAGGAACGAACGGAAGAAAAGAGGAGTAACAAGGAACGAACGGAAGAAAAGAGGAGTAACAAGGAACGAACGGAAGAAAAGAGGAGTAACAAGGAACGAACGGAAGAAAAGAGGAGTAACAAGGAACGAACGGAAGAAAAGAGGAGTAACAAGGAACGAACGGAAGAAAAGAGGAGTAACAAGGAACGAACGGAAGAAAAGAGGAGTAACAAGGAACGAACGGAAGAAAAGAGGAGTAACAAGGAACGAACGGAAGAAAAGAGGAGTAACAAGGAACGAACGGAAGAAAAGAGGAGTAACAAGGAACGAACGGAAGAAAAGAGGAGTAACAAGGAACGAACGGAAGAAAAGAGGAGTAACAAGGAACGAACGGAAGAAAAGAGGAGTAACAAGGAACGAACGGAAGAAAAGAGGAGTAACAAGGAACGAACGGAAGAAAAGAGGAGTAACAAGGAACGAACGGAAGAAAAGAGGAGTAACAAGGAACGAACGGAAGAAAAGAGGAGTAACAAGGAACGAACGGAAGAAAAGAGGAGTAACAAGGAACGAACGGAAGAAAAGAGGAGTAACAAGGAACGAACGGAAGAAAAGAGGAGTAACAAGGAACGAACGGAAGAAAAAGGACACTGAGAACCGAGATCTCATAGGTCACACAGGTGAGTGCGTTTACGTGAGAAGCAGAAAACAATGCAGAGCAGCTGTTTCAAGTTCTGAAGAAAATGCATTTATGGCTCACAAAAAGCTAAGATTTTCGAGTTTCCCGATCTCTGCTGGAACAGCGCCACTTAAACTGTTCGAGCTCAAACTTCTGTAGATAATGGATGGAAGGTGAGGGTATGGGAAAATGAAGAATAGTATGTTAGATTATCATGCGACATAGTTTTAAAAAGTTAAAAGCAGTAAGGACATTATTGCACTCAATGGGCATCGCATTCCATGTCTTCATAGCTGGCTGCCCTTTTTCTGACATTACGAAACTAAACAAGAAAGCCAGCACAGAGCAAGCGAGGAGATAGGAAGGAACAGGAAGCGGGAGGGGGAGTGATCTCATACAATACTGTCAAGTGGGTAAGATTTCCAACTGATTCTGGGATGCACCCAGACAGGAAGTTGAAGTTGAGATTCCTACACACATGTGAAAGGAGAGGAGGAAGCTAAAGGAGAATAGAGACATGTTCAGAGAGAAGGCAGAATACGTCTGCACACACTTAAGCTGGTAGTGGGAACATCCTGGACGGAAGGACTATGTGCCATGCCAAGCATTATGAGATTACCCATTCATGCTGCACTTGATATCCGCAAGAATTTACACTCTTTTTTTGCGTTGATGGAACGAAATGATATAAAAAAACTGAACAAAAGAAACCTGTGACACACTAACTGACGGGGGCGTGGTGGGTGAATGCAGCACCATCTAGCGTTTAAAATCTTCAGGCCAGATGGTGTGTGCACGATAAGATAATTGCTCAAGCACATAACATAACATAGATGGCTTTGTGCTTGTACGTAACTGTATTCATAAAAGGGGAGGAATCACAGGATGTTAACACATGATCAGGATGCCAAAAAAAAAAGCTTGTCTGTTTTCCACCTTGGGTTGGAAGCACAGCTAGGGATAAAACCACGTAACTGTATCCCTGAAATGCGCACTCGTTTATTACACAAGGAATGATTGTTCCAGTGGAAAAAATGGCTTCCACAAATGCCATAATACTGACAGGATGGTCAAGTTAGTGAGGCCGCCAATAGCAGATGGGATGGATCCAATGAAAGCATTCTCACTTAAGTCCCTGAAATGGTGCCAAAGTGGACATCACGAGCAGAGAAGAGTAGAAAGGGTGGAAGCCCGAACAGTTGTCTTCGACAGGTGCCGGGATAAAACTGACAGTATCCAGCAACCACCATGAGATTATGCACACTCAAATGTTAGATATGAGGAAGCAAGCAACGCGTTCCCTCCTTGTAGTCAACAGACTCACACGCGGCTCAGACTCAAAAGTTTGCTGATCTCCGGAGGTATGTAACCACTTAAATCGTTTCTTCCAAGCTCTCTGCGGACCAGGCAGTAGGAGAAAAGGAACTCGAGTAACAGAGTGTGAACCAACAAAGAGCACTCACGCATAGGCAAGCCATGACACTCGGAGCATTAGCATCAATGACCGCCGTGCTACATAGGAGGACAGAGCACATTGGCACGTGGTTGCGATGGAAACTGACGCCCCATACTTTGCCCTGCGATTTTTTCCGATCTGGGTGATAAACGCACCGCGCTGGGAACACCATCGTGTTCCTAGGCGGAAAAGAAGGCACCCTCTACCTTTTGCCCTGCAGTTACATATCACAGTCATAACCGGGTATTTACCCGACCCGACCCGGTTTTGCTATACCCGACTTCGGGGCGGGTATTTTCGGGTCGGGTACGGGTCGGGTAACATGCCCAGGACCAATCCCCGGACCCGGGATTTGGGGACGGGTAGTTTAATACTCGCCTGGCGGGTCCGGGTACACCCGACCCGGTTTCCTTGAAAAGCGGGTAGTACCCTGTTGGGCTACTAAACCTACGACCTAGATAGTGCTTAAAAAACGTGAGTTGGGGGAGGGAGTATAGAGGTGCGCCAAATCTTTAACAATTCTGGTGTGGTGACTGGGGCGTGAGTGGGGCCTGAGTGGGGAGTTGGTTGGGTTTTCTAGTTGAGATGGGGTTGTGTGCAGTTTTAGGGGGTTTGATTCTTTGACCCTCAGAGTCAATTGGTTGGAACTCCAACCAATGTGGTGCTGTGCGGTTGGTTGGATTCAGGTTGGGTTGCACCTTCGATTGGGGAAATTCGATTGGTTTGAATTCCAACAAATTTCCCCCAATTCAACCGCTCTGAATACATCTGGATCTACGAAATCCAAACCCTGCCACTCTACAATGCTTTATGTGACCTAGCAGCTTGCGTAACCTAAAAACTTGCTGAAATCTCTCTACCAGCACGACCAATGTCGCGCTGGTTCCGTCGGGTAGACGCGCTACCCGATTTCAGGTCGGGTACCCGCTACCCGATGTGTCGGGTAACGTTTCGGGTAACGGGTATCGAATACCCGCCCGGGTTACCCGGACCCGACCCGCCGGGTAATATTCAGGAATCCTAATACACGACCCGCCCTAAAAGCGGATCCGGGTCCCGGGTACCCGACCCGCGCGGGTATTTTGCTCAACCCTACCTATACCCCACCCGGGCTGGGACCCCTTGGCATTAAGAATCAGACACATATGGCAGCAATTCACATGTTGGCCAACAGAACAAGGCATTTATGCTATATTGATCAAGACGTCAGGACTTAACGCATTGTCATAATACTGACATTTTTTTCAGGCTGCTCATGTTGCCAATGGTGGAAGGAAGGGATCCAGTCAAGCCCTTCCTGTATAGATTCCTGAGTGGGGCGTTGGGGCGTTGGGTGAGATGGAGACAGCGAAGACATTGTACATCAACAAGGACTGTGATGGCAAAGAGCCCAGCAAGCAAAGCATTCCACTCCACTACTGCAATCACTAATTGGCATATTTGAATTAGCCATGTCTTGTTGTTGATCCCATGCCAGCAGTCCTTGTCCCGAATGATTCTAGTCAACACTTTTTTCCATATCATCACAATTCATGTCATAAAGCAGCTGCCTTTAAGGTTACTGTGCAATGACAAGCTGAGATCTGCCGCTGTCTTGCGTTATCTCTCTTAGAATAGGTACGAAAGAAAACAACAAACAAGGGAAGGAGGGAGAGAGGGAGAGATGGAGAAAGGGACGAAGGGAGGGTGGGAGGGAGGAAGGAGGAGGGGCCAGGGAGAAGTTAGGGAAGGACGAAGGGAGGGGGGCGATGGGGAGCGTCTATGCATTGACCTGTTTCACTCACAAGCTGGTTACCATGCCTTGGTCATTGCATCTGACACATTCTGCTGTGCTGCATTCCCCGCCCACGTCCCAACCGACGAACGTCCGATTCCACGCTACCTCGCAGTCTAGGAGAGCTTTCGCTGCGGGCACGACGAGGAGAAGAGGGGGGGGGGGGGGGGGGGGGGGGGGGGGGTTGGGGGGGTTAGTAGGCAGGAACAGGTGGCAGGAGGGTGGGATGTCGGAGGAGGAGCAGAGTGCCAGGCGGCAGACATGAGATTGCCAGATGTCTGGACGGATGACGACCCTCAACGCTGTCAAGAGCACGGCGCCTCAACAGCTCCGACCTGCACTCAGACAGTCCCCGTCGCAGCATCATCCCACTCCGTGCCGCAACTCCAGCCCGCCGACGTGTAAAGCTCTCAGCAGCCGTTTCCCAATATCGGCGCCAGCATGGGCTGCCCGTCGAAAGACGTGGCTTTGCTCTTCGCACGAACGCCGGGTTTTCTTACGGGAGGGGAACACGCAAGGGTTATGGAAAAGAGTCGTTCTGGGTCGTGATCACGGCGCCTGGGAGATACGTGTGTCCGGAAGCGCGACGGACCTTGGGAGTCGACGAACGGCGCACAGCCAACAGGAGAAGCAACCAAGCACGTGAGCAGGAAAAGCGCGCCGAGCTGCCAGTGAAGCGTCGCGTTGTCCATTCTTACCCCTGCTTCGGCGATAGGAGCAGGCAGTATGAGAAGCGACAAATGATAGGATTCTGTGACGGACACCTGAGCTGAGAATCATGAGGGGAGTGAAGCGGGGCGTATTTCTTAGGGTTTCTTGTTTGTCGGTTGTGAGGTAACCCGGGTCAGGGTCACGACCCGAGACGTTTTGCACCTTGGTCTGAAGTTCATCCAACCAGCTTCGGGACGATCCCAGGACGGTCTCCGTCCCAACCTGAGTGGCTCGCACAGAACTCACGACCAGTTCGTCAGTTCTGCGACGGGGCTGTACGAACTCATACAGTCGCTGAATTGCGGTTACCAGCAGAGACAAACCGTTTGGATTCTTCAAATTGTGGAATAAATATTACTTGCACCACGCCCTTCCTGTTGGTTGATCCATGCTTGCGATCAACGGTCACTGTCAGGTGCCAGGAGGTGACTAGTACGACTAGATGTACTGCCGCTGTCACTGCTCTTCAGCGACACATCAACGACGTTCGTCATCTCGACTTCTCTCGTTCGCCAGCGCAGTGGTTCACCGGCAGCGAGCGTGCAATCGTCTCGCACTCATCGCACGTCACAGAAGTATGCAAGCACATCCCGCCGTCGGTCCCAATGTGTCGCGCGTGCAATGGACGAGGCGACGGCTCAGCCACAGGGATGGGAATGCGTGCTTAGAAGCATACCGGCGTGTAGTAGAAGGCAGTTTGGAGTCGTGTGTACGTGACCGACCGTCACTCTCGACATCCAGTAAAGAAATCCCGTCAGAACCGTTGGATCGTCGTTTCGGAAGTCCGGAGGGTTTCAGAACCGCCTCCTACTATTTTTCATATCAGCCGCGTCGTGCTGCGATGTAATGATTTCAGTAGGTCGAAGCTTTCAGTACATACTCATTACCATCTGCGATTCCGCGCATAGGTTCCGCAAACGAAGAGGATCCTTTCTACACTTTGCGAGTCGAGATAGATACGCGCCGCCCAGCCGATTGATAGCCACGGAGAAGCGAGGCTCGACCGGACGATGAGTCTGTGGCCAACTTACAACTGACCAGCTCCGCGTTGAAGCATAATGTGACGAGGTTAGGGTTACCCCAGGCCGTGCGCCGTAACACCGCGAATTGAGCGGCAGTGTGAAGCAGAGCAGCGCTAGCGCGCTGAGGCCGCCCTGAGGCCCTGAGGCAAGTGCGGCGGGACCTAAGGGCGTGAGGGCGGACGTCGCTACCGTTTGAGCCTTTCCGCCGGTTTTCGTCTGCCTCCAGGGCCGCCTTGCCAGAATCGGCACGCTGCACGCCACCTCGGAACGGAACGCTGCGAAACGCCCTAGTGCGATCGGATGGCGTCCAGCGCTCGTGTGGCGGAGTGCATTGCGACTCGCCTGCTGCCTGAGTGATGGCGGTGCGCTGAATGCACGGTGGATGCGCGTTGCGCTGCACTACGCAAGCCGCTTCAGAGTCAGAAATGAAGTGTGATTACCATTTTTCTCTCCGCATCTCCCCCTATTCGTTTCCCTTCCCCTCTGCCTTCCCTGGGCCTCTTCCCCTTCCTCTTCTCTCCCACTCCCCCCCCCTGTGCCCATTTCCCTCCCCATTTACCCTTCCTCTGTACTTGTGGTGATTTCTTAGCCCCTCTTCCGCGGAGCCCCTCAGCCCCACTCCTCTCCCCCATCCGCAGTTTCCTGCCCACTCTTACACCCCTCTGCACCCCTGCTCTTCTCCATCCCTCCAGGTTTTTCCTCCCTCGCTGCCTCCGTCAGTGGTGCTCTCCCCCTTCTCGTCCTTCCAGTGGTGCTCTTCCCCAGCTGCTACCACATACCCGGGGAGCATGGGAGCATGGTGCGCCCAGGGGCCCATCGGGGAGTGAACTGGCAAGGAGGGGAGCTGTCACAGCCTAGGATGAGAGCTGGTGCGGGGTGTGTGTGTGGGTGCGGGGTGGGGGAGGTGGGGAGGTCGGGTGATGGGGTTTGGGAAAGCAAGAGGGGAAGGGTGGTGTGTTAAAGGAGGAGGGGAGGCTGCTATCGTATGCTGGCTTTCGTGTGAAATAGAGAGCCACATCGCGTAGATGGTAGCTTTTGCACTTTACATCTGCCTCCAGAAGTTACCTGAGCAACGGCTGTAGAACCCTTTTCACGCTCATGCGATTATGCCACGCATGCTGCTATCCGATGCTGGTTTTCGCGTTCAACTGATTATGTCATCACCCACAGCTATCTGGGCCCATGTTACTACAGAGGAAGAACCCGGCAACGAAGCAACCCCTGACAGGTGTGCATGCTGCAATGAAGGTGTTGGGTTGGGCAACGAGAGGGCAAGGGAAGAAAAAGAGAACTCAGCAAGGAGGCATCTGAAATGGCTAACTGAGAAGGTCCGTCCGCTGTCCCAGGGACTTGACGGGGGTAGTGGGGCACCACCATTGCAGGCGACTAACAGCAGCGCCCTGCCAGTGCACACCCGAGCATGCTGTGCAGTGCATCCTTGCCAGTGCTAGCGAGACGGCTGCGAATCAAAAACATCAACTCCCCACTGCCCCTTAACTCCTCATTACTCTCAGATCACACACTGCTCGCCCCCACACCGCACCCCCACATCGCTCCCGCATCGCTCGCCCCCACACCGCTAAGCAAGGCACCCCAAGCACTTAATCTGAAAGCTGTCACCTCAAGCTTACCGGGAGGTTGACAAGAGGAGTAGAGAGGAAACCCAGACTCCTCGATGACCGGCGTGAGACGTCCGAGGAACAATGGCTGCACGGGAAGTCCGGGGGACGTCTTCTGCTTGAAGTGGGCAGCTGGTGGATTGTCAACGATGCAGCGGACGGACTTCACCAGTATGGCAAACATCTTAGACCTGTGCATCATGGGAGACACAAGTGCGTGTATATGGCAAACTTCTTAGACCTGTGTATCATGGGATACAGCCAAGAGGCCAAATGTGAATGTTCAGCTGAAAAAAAACAGACACAAGAAAACAATTGCGCGAACACGAGGGAGCGACGACACAATTCATTCGCTTCAGACCAGATCCAAACATTCCCAACTCACTCCTTGTTCCCTGCACCAGAGGTTCAACCTGTCAAACATGTGTATTTGTTATGTTTGCATAGACTGTATAGGGTCACCTCTTAGAGGGTACAATACTTAGGTATATCTATCTGTACTCTCCCACTACTCCATTATTCTTCTCTCTCAGTTTGATATGGTATCACGCGTAGGTTAGGATCCCCCCACCTACCGCTTCCGCTCGTTCCCTAGCTAGGCCCCGTCATGCCCCTAGCCCTGCCGCGCCCCTCCTGGGCCCCGTCGCGACCCCCTAGCCCCGTCGCGACCCCCCCTAGCCCCGTTGCGACCCTCTAGCCCCGTCGCGACCCCCTGGGCCCCGTCGCGACCCCCTAGCCCCGTCGCGACCCCCTGAGCCCTTCGTGCCCCTAGCCCTGCCACGCCCCTCCTGGGCCCCGTCGCGACCCCCCTAGCCCTGTTGTGACCCTCCCGGGCCCCGCTGCGCCCCTCGCCCCGTAGCGCCCCTCCTGGGCCCCGTCACGCCTTCAGGCCCCGTCGCGCCCTGCCCGGCCCCGTCGCACCCGCCCGGCCCCGTCGCACCCGCCCGGCCCCCGTCGCACCCGCCCGGCCTCGTCGCGCCCTGCCCGGCCCCGTCGCACCTGCCCGGCCCCGTCGCACCCGCCCGGCCCCGTCGCACCCGCCCGGCCCCGTCGCACCTGCCCGGCCCCGTTGCGCCCTGCCCGGCCCCGTCGCACCCGCCCGGCCCCAGTTGCGCCCTGCCCGGCCCCGTCGCGCCCGCTCGGCCCCATCGCGCTCTCCGGGCCCTGTCGCGCCCTGCCTCGCCCCGCCGTGCCCTGCCTGGCCCTGCCACGCCCGCCCGGCCCCGCCGCACCGGCCCGGCCTCTGCGCTCATCCCTGCCCCACCCCTTGCATCCTCACTGGTACGGTTCCCCCCCTCCCTGCACCGCCCTGCACCACACTGCGCTGCCCTGCATTGCACTGCACCGCCCTGCACCGCACTACACTGCCATGCACCGCCCTGCACCGCCCTACATCGCACTGCACCGCACTGCACTGCCCTGCTTTGCCCTGCACCACACTGCACTGTACTGCCCTGTCCTGCACTGCCCCTGATGGCGGCGGAGCTTCGGTTCGACGCTGAAGGCCAGCCTCTGGAGTTCGAGGCGTGGCTTGCCGACCTCCGGCGCCAACTCACTGGCCAGCGGCACGATGGTGAACCACTGTCCGCACACCTTGACGGTACGCTCCCCTGCCCAGACCCCCCTGCTGTTCTGCCCGCTGACTCCACACCCACTGAGCTCGAATCTACTGCTGCCACTGCCCGTGCGTGCTCTGTCTGGCTTTCTCGCGATGCTATCGCTCAGCTTGCCATTAGCAACGCCCTTCCCCCGTCCGAGCGCCCTCGCATTAGGTCCCTCACTACTGCTCAGGCTTACTTAGATGCTGTCATCAAGCGCTATTCCACCCCTCCGGCTGCCTCGGTGGGTCGCCTGATCCTCCCGATGCTCTTTCCTGACCTTGCGTCTTTCCCCACTGTCTCTGACCTCGCTGCCCACCTGCGCTCGATAGATGACACCTGGCGCGCTGCCTGCACTGACGCACAGCTTAGAGCCCACCAGCCGCCCATTACCTCTACCCTTTACCTGCTTGCCACCCGCCTCCCTGACCGCCTTGCTGTCGCCCGCGACCGCATCCTTAGCATTCACCCCGCAGACCTCACCCTCACTGACTTTGTAGACACCCTGACTGTGATTGAGACCCGCCACCGCTCCATCGCCCAGGCGAGTGGTACCGTGCCGGTCCCTATCTTTCAGGGTTGTGCCCCCGCTCAGTGTACCTTCTCCGACGGCTCTGCCGCTGTGGCTGAGACTGCTGCTGCAGCGCAGTTTCGTTCGGGGAAGGGTCGCCGCCCCAAGGTTGGGCGCGGCGGAGGAGGCGGGGGTGCGGGAGGGGGTGGTGGTGGAGTCGGGTCGTCAGGTGCTGGAGTGGACGAGGGGACCCTGCCCAGTCCAGCTGAGACGCCGCCTCTGCAGTCGCAGCAGCAGCAGCAGCCGCAGCAGCCGCTGCAGTCGCAGCAGCCGCAGCCTTCGCAGCAGCCGCAGCAGCCATCGCAGACGAGGCAGACGAGTGTACTCCCGCCCGGGGGGCCCGGCGCTGGCGGTGGTCGGGGGCGTGGTGGTGTGCCGAGTGGTGGTTCTCCCTATCTTGCGTCTTCACTCCGACCGTGGTGGCGAGTTTGCCTCAGGTGTCCTTGGTCGCTTTTGTCGTGCGGAGGGCATCACCCAGACGTTCACCCTACCGGACTCCCCACAGCAGAATGGGGTCGCTGAGCGACGCATCGGTTTGGTCATGGAGGTGGCTCGCACCTCCATGATCCATGCCGGTGCACCCCATTTTCTATGGCCGTTCGCTGTGCGCTACGCTTTTCACCAGCTTAACTTGTGGCCGCACCCTCAGCAGCCGCAGGTTTCGCCGACCCGTCTTTGGACTGGGTCTCCTGGTGACGCGTCTGCATTTCACGTCTGGGGCTGCCTTGCTCACGTCCGTGCCTCCGGCACGGACAAGCTCACGGCCCGCACCCTTCCCTACGTCTTCCTCGGTTTTCCCTTTGACGCGTCCGACTGGCACTTTTACCATCCGCCGTCTCACCGCTTCTTTCACTCTCGCGACATCACCTTTGACGAGTCCGTCTCTTACTACCGTCGCTTCCCCCACCGCGGTCCCCCGGTTACCCCCCCCCTGTTCCTGGTCACTCCTTCCTTGGTAGTCCTTGCCCCTCCCCCTCCTCCTCCCCGTCCTGCCCCCTCTGGTGTGTCCCACGTCACCCCCCTTCCGTCGGTGGACCCGGTTGAGGAGTCTTCTGACTCTGGTGGCCCTGCTGCGCAGTCCTCGCCGGCCGCCCCTCCACCGGCGTCCCCTCCCCAGTCCCCCCCTCCACCGCCTCTGCCGCCGCTGCACCCGTCGGTGTCACTGCCGCCGCCGCCGCCTCCGTCGCAGCACCCGTTCGCTGACTCTGGGGGTGCTAGTACCGGTAGCCCTGGGGATGGTTCCTCTGGGGGTGCTGGTGTGGAGTGTGCCGGTGGTAGCCGAGGAGCAGCTTGCAGTCCCGATGTTGCCGTTGTGCCGCCGGAGCAGCAGTCCCCGCCGGTGTCCGCCCTTCGCCTGCTCGGCCTTCCGTCCCCTGACCCTGCGGCTGTTCCTCTCCGCCCGTCTCCTCCTCTTCCCGTCTACGGCCCTGTGTTCCCTCCGCCGGACTCGTCCCCGGCCCGTCTTCCCCCTCGTTCCCCTCCTGTGTCCCCTCCCCTGTCTCCTGACCTGACTCCTCCGTCGCACGTCTGGTCTCACCGTCCCTCCCGTGCTCGTCCTTCCTCCCGTGTCTTGCGCTCCCACCCTATGTTGCTTCGTTCCCACGCGTCTCGTCCTCCCCTTCTACCGTCGCCTCCTCCGTCCTCCCTTGTTGTTGCACCCCCCCCGCTGTCTGACTACCTTCGTGCCGCTCGTCCTCTTGTTCCCCGGGTCCTTGCCTCTCTCGTTACCGACCCGTCTGTTCCGGTCTCGTGCTTTGACGCTCTTGTAGCTGCGGTCGCTGACTTCGCCTCTACCCGCCGCCTTGACTACGCCACCGCTCTGGTCTCGGACCCTGCCTGTCCTCCGTCTGTCGGGGGTGCTCCTGCCCTTGGCAGTGACGTCCTGGAGGACCGCCAGTTCGAGCTTGCTTTCCTGTCCGAGGCTGCTCCCCATCTCTGTTCCATGCTGCTAGTCCCTGAGGGTGACCCAGACGCTTTCGACATCCCGACCCCTCGCACTTACGCTGAGGCGACCTCGGGACCTTGGGCTTCGCAGTGGATAGCTGCCATGGAGCAGGAGATGGCATCTTGGAGATCCACCGGCACCTTCGTCGACGCAGTTCCCCCGCCTGGGGTGAACGTAGTCGATGGCCGTTGGCTCTTCAAGGTGAAGCGCCCTCCTGGAGAGCCGCCTGTGTTCAAGGCGCGCTACGTGGCTAGAGGCTTCAGTCAGCGTGAGGGGGTGGACTTCTTCCAGACCTTCGCTCCGACCCCGAAGATGACTACTCTTCGGGTTCTGCTACACCTAGCTGCTCAGCGCGACTACGAGCTTCACTCTCTCGACTTCTCCACTGCCTTCCTACAGGGCAGCCTACACGAGCAGGTCTACTTGCGTCGCCCTCAGGGCTTTACTGGCACCTTCCCTTCTGGGACCCAGTGGCTCCTGCGGCGCCCCGTCTACGGCCTGCGCCAGGCTCCCCGTGAGTGGCACGACACTCTCCGTGCTACGCTTGCTGACCTGCAGTTCTTTCCGTCTTCCGTAGACCCCTCACTCTTCGTTCGTGCTGGCCAGACTCCGTTCTACATCCTTGTTTACGTCAACGACCTGGTCTTTGCCACAGCAGACAGGGACGCACTGGCCTCCATGAAGGCAGAGCTGCTGAAGAGACACACCTGCACTGACCTTGGAGAACTGCGCCGTTACCTTGGCTTGCAGATCTCCAGGGACAGAGCAGCGCGCACCATCACCCTGACTCAGTCACACTTGGTGCGCCAGGTCCTTCAGA